ATTTTACCTTTGAAAAAATAAATAAATTAAACGTTTAGAAAATATTTAAATTTATGTGGTAATTTATAGGTAAATTAATAAAAATATCTCTAAACTTTTTAGATTCTCTAAAAAAAAAGTATATAAACTTTCAAAATTTCAACCATATTTAAACTTTAAAAAAAATAAAAAAATATATATAAAGAATTATGTTTAAAAACTTTAAAAATGTCTTTAAATTAAATAAATAAATAAAATAATCATACAATACTATATTTAAAAAATACCCACGAACTTTTAAAATTATTATTAACTCTCTTTACATTTATTTAAAAAATGTTAATTTTTTTTCCTCAATATATTGAGGAAAACAATTCATTGATACTTCATAGATTATTTTATTTATTATTATTTTTTTAATTTCATTAGTAGAGTATTTTTTTTAATTTTTTAAAAAATCTTAAAAGACGTTTTTTAAGTTTTTAAAAAAATTTAATGGTATTTTCTAAATAGTTTTAAAAGTTGAAAAGAGTATTTTAAAAATCATATTAAGTATTTTTGTAACATTTTTTATTATTATTTTTTTTAATTTAAGGGTATTTTGGAATTTTATCTAAATCCTTCAAAGGTATTTTAATTAATTTAATCCCTAACAAAACCTATTTTAAAAGCAATTTTCTAAACATGTCCTAAATCCTAAATCTATAAAATACATTAATATGACCTTATATAGTAAGAGTTTGTTGACATACATCTAATACAGAATCATTTTTATGGTAACTATTATTTCCACTCCTAATTACTTTAGTTTCGTAAACCACCCATATTATATTCTGATTTAATATTTATTAAGTATATATTCTTATTTAATACAATAGCAAACTAATATTAAATTTGAGACGGTATTAGATAAACACAAAGTATTATCTTAAAAGTAGTTGTTAACGACAACAAAAGAATAAGAATAATTCAAATAATACTCAATTTAGACCGAATATCAATCAAATTTCATAGTTCAACTTACTGGATAATCACATAAAATTTATTAGATAAACATAAAATTTTGTTTGGTCTATTATTGTAGAAGCCCAATTTTAAGACCGAATATCTAAATATTTATAAGGATTCATAATCAATTGAGAATTAGAGGTTCCTAAGATGACATTCAAAGAATATATATTATTATTTACAGTTAGTTGATTTTCATTTGATTATGACATGTAGTTCCCAGAATCTCATTTTTAATTCAATATGAACAATAAAATTCTAGTTATATTAATTAAAACGAGGAACCGAGAGGCAAATTCCTTTCTCTCTCTGTTTCTTCTTCCCCGTTTTTCCATTAATTGATTGAAAACAGAGAGAGAAGCAGAAACGGGTACGCACGAATACAGAATTCTTCCTTGTTTTTGTTTTTTCATTTTTTAATATCTCATTGGAATCATTATTGATTAATTAAAAGATTAATCGGAATCGTACCTGGCTTCTTGTTTGGTTGGTAATTGGTGCTGCCCGTTCCTCGAGGAAGAAAAACGCCGGTGCCTCCTAATTGCCGCCCGCAATCGAGGAAGATTGCTTGCATTCCATGTCCTCCAGCCGTCCAATTCGCCGCGGAAACCGCTGGTTTTTGCCTCTGGTGCGGCAGAGAAGAGACATTACTGAACTTCGATTTCTGATTCTAATTCAATTTCACCGTATCAAAAACAACAAAATCAAGAACATAAACGAAATCGTAACCTAGTGCGTGAAGAAATTAAAATCGCGATCAAACTGTAACAGTACCGTACCGATGAAAGGGCGAAATCAGAAGACGATAACAGAGGACGATCGTGGCGCCGTTGCCGCTGGAGGAAGTACGGTTGTTGTTTGTGGTGGTGTTGCCTCATATACACCTGATGATCATAAAAAAGAAGCGGCAAAGAAAATTTAACACGGAACTTAAAACTTTTCTCGGAAAATTTTGTTTTCCTGAGAAACAAACAGAAAACAGAACTGAAAAAGAAAATTAATCGAGTAATTAAGAGAAGTAGAAGTAGAGAAAAACCTTGATATCGCAAGCCTCGTCAAGAACTTGACTAGGAAGCCATGGCAATGCTTCTTCTACACGAAGTTCCTCGGCAGCCATGGAAGTGAAGTTTTTGTTTCTCTCTCTAGATTCAGAGACTTGATGAGAGAGAGCGAGAGAGAGCGAGAGAAAGTTGAGCTCCAATGTCTAACCTGTAACTCAACTAAATATATAGTTACGCGGAGAGGGAAGGGGGAGATTAAAGGAATAAAATAAAAAATGTAAAATAAATTAATTAAGCTCCCAAAAAATCATATTTCATATTTTTATTTACATAAAACCGTTACTTCTTTTCCACATTCAAACGCCGTCGTTTTTATTTCCTTTTTTGTTTTTAAACACGAGAGAAGTTTCACCTTCATTTGTGCACGTTTCCACACGTTCGCCTGTTAAATTACAAATTTAACCCTATAATTTTTTAAATTATATTAATATTTTATATAAATTCAATAATTAGAAATTAAAATATATTTCTTCTAAAATTGGTAATTAATGACTTATTAACCATACTTTAAACTTTGGTACTCATTATCTCAAATCAATAATCGTACTAATAAAAAAGTTACAAGTGATATCAATTATCATTGAGTTATGTTCATGTTGACACTTTAATTAATCACGTTTGAATTGGGTAAATAAACCATTATAACGACCAAATTTAAAATGTGAGGCACGAGAATTTAAACGTTCGATATTAATAAAATCAATACATGTCAATTACCGATAAGAAGGGTAGATGATAACCGAGAAATAAAAAAAAGGGCAAAATTGGAATTTAGAGAAAGAAGTAAGTAGGGGGAGTTGGGTTGGGCTAACCAACTCGGCATTGGCTTCACTTCCAAATATTTTACTATTTATTTTTCTTTCCAATTTAATTTAAATTTATGAAGAAGTCTTTTTTTCTAACCAACCAACCAAAATTTTTAACTTTTTTCCCATACCCATAAACGTAAATGTAACGCAAATAAAATATATTTTAAATAAAAAAATTTGAGTTTAAATTTCGAATTCTCAAATTAATATATATTATTTTTAACTATCATTATATTTCATTATAAAATATAAAAATAATAATAAGACTGAGATTTTAAATCTAAAATCAAGCATAATTTAATAATTAAATCCGGAATTATTTTATAGATTTTGAAGAATTAAATCACAAAAATTATTAAATTAAAACATTGGGTTATTTTAAATTATATTATTTTCTGAATTCTTAGCTATTGGTAAGCTAATATGTTTGTCTTGGTATCAAACGACACGTGGCAACTAGTAGTAGTTATAGGTTACCTAGATTGGGTTAGAGGATTAAGCATAAAGCTAAGTATATGGTAGAGTGGATTTGTTTGTTTGTTTGTATTTTTTTTTTTCAATTACAAATTGATCAATACAAAAGAAAAAAAAAACTAAATTACAAATTTTGTTTTTAAATTTGAGACATATCTAATTTACGGTTTTATTTTAGGATAATTTTTAATGTTAAACTCATGAAAGAGACCTGTCTTAGTTTGACTTTTGGCATTTTTTTCACGTTTTTGTGTTTATGTTTTGAAATTTTGAGAAATTCTTAAATTGAGTTGACTTTATGAAATTAAGTTATTTGATTAAAGAATATACTTTGGACAAAATAATAATAATAATAATAAAATAAAACTAAAAATTAGGTTGATGTTATGTTATGTTAGTTGAGGTTTGAGCTCAAAATTATTAAACCAAACCAAATAAAATTGGATTAGGTCAACCTTTTAACAGATGGGATTTGTTCATTTCTCGAAAAAGAAAGGAAAAAAAGAACAAAAGTTTTTGGAGTTCAAATAGTAGGTTGGAAGTGGATAAGAGGAACTAAACTAAATTTTATTTTGCTAGAGATGAGTATGATTTAAATGAAAAATAATATGGAAATATCGATATTATTCACAGTATTTTTTTTTGTCGTAATTTAAAATATATTTTATGTCTTTAAAATTCGTGTTTACGTTACTTTGATGCACTTTTTTTACCTTTGAATTATAGTAAATATTGATTGTTGTTCATGTTGGAAATAAAGGTCAAATAATTCTAGTTACAATAATAATATTAAAAGAGTAAAATAATTGATATCTATAATATAATAGATTATAAGATAATAGAAAATTGTTAAAGAGAGGTAAAATGAGCTTAATTAACTAAATAATTAATTAATTTTCATTTATTAACTTAATGTCCCTCCACGAAGAAGCGCCACTACAAAACTTGTTACTACATACAAGTACATCTTTTGCTAACTTTTGATTGTATTTTGGTCAAAAATTTATTTTATCAATGTAACTATATTTTATACTTTAAACACCATTAATTATGTAATAGGTTTGACTTTTATGGTCTAATTATAAATTAGCCTCCTTGCCTGATCTAATTACAAACCATATGAAATCATAATTACTCAAAATAAAAATTAACTCACATAGGATCCTTTAGTAAAATATTTATCTTTTAAATTAATATTTACGATTTATAAAATTTACAATATATAAAATTCATGTATGGAATTATATCAAAAAAACAAAGTGCCCACTATTATCTAATTACCAAGTAGTAAAGACATTTTTTTTTTATTCCACAATATTGAGAATTTTTTATTTTTGTTAAAATACTATTTTGGCCATCGATTAAAGACTAAATCCGACCATACTTAGCATTATATTATTGTCAAGGTATTAGCGGCTAAAACGAACCTTGTTTCTAACAACCAAATGTTCTAACATCAGTGTTATAAATTCATTCTCGCCATTTAACATCTAAAAATGGCATAGGTGACAGAGTTCAAAAACCGTGTAATGATATCTATATTTCATCACATTTGTGTATTAAAATAAAAAAAATGAACTTTTTTGAAATAGGAACTAAATAAATGCAAAACTTCTGTAGGCCAAGCATCAAAGTTGGTGTTGATAAAACATTGAGAGCATAAAAAATATAATGAACGGAAGAGCAAATGACAGACAATTCAAAACTCGAGATAAAACATGAGCAACCATCTTCATCTGGAAAATCTTTCAACGGCTAAATCTAAAACTTTAATGGCGCAAAACATAAGAAATTATATCTCATCAGCAAAATATAAGTCTCGAGTTAACAAAACAGGTAATTGATCGATCTAAGGGGCAACAACAATTCTGCCAGCAACTTGATCGAGATCTCGTCGCCCGCTTGATGTAATTCTCCTTCCACTGCAAACCCATGCAAAAAGAAAAACACATCAATAGACATAATCAAATGAAAAATCAGGTGTAACGGGGCGAAAAAGCGTAGTAGTAATGACTCATAAGCTATAACTATAAGCATTGTTTTAAAGGGTTAAAGGCAGCCTCAAAGTTGTTTGTCTCGAGCAGGCGAGGTGCAAGTCTCAAATTTAATTAAAAACATTATTCAAATCCTAAATTAGTTTAATCAAATAAATATACAAAAACCTCACTACTACAATTTGACCCTTAAACAAGAATTCTAAAATAATAACTTTAACATCACTTGCTAATATCAGGAGTAGGATTGACTTATACTATAATATTTTTTTCTTCAATGTTTCAAAGTCGTAGTAATAATTCAAATTGTCACAACTCAAACATATGTATTTATTAATAATGAGGCAAATCAATATTATTATTCTAATCATTGCAAAAGGGATAGAGATTTTAAGCCTCAATGAGTTGTTCAACATAAGCATAAGGCTTTTCTATGAAAGGCATGAGCCTGTTATTTTCATCGAAGGCACAAGTCTCGAGGCTAAAAGTTAGTACTGACTCATGGAATAAGCCTCAATAGTTTTATAAAACATGGACTATAAGAAGCTTGCACTCACCCCTTTGGGTCCACATCAACAATGTTCATCTCCTGCAACTGTTGTAGAATGTGCCGGGCGATGGCACCACTGCTTTCACAAAAGTGTGGAGGGCGACTTCCATTCCTCTTGCTTCCACCATAAATTCGCTTAAATGCCCCAACACCAAGACCTCCTCTCAAGTAGATCTTCCTTGCCATGGATGCTGAATGAGTTTGAAATAGTGTTCATATGAATACCACAGATAGAACATGCATATAACGGCCGCAATTAAATTACATTTTCATTTATTTATTTCATATAATTGGACGTCAAAAAGAAGAAAAAGGGAAACTAACCAGCTCTCACGTAATACCAATCAGGATCATATGGGGCGAGTTCTTTGAATCTCGCAGTTTTGACTATATCTGTCCATGGCGGAAGTTCAACCTGCTCGACAATGATTTACACAGTAAATAAGTTAAAATCACATATGTTATAGATCATAACTGGTTTATTAGCTACAAATTAGTAGCAGGTCATTAGAAAAGCCTACAGCCTAACAATTGCAACCACCATTCTTGATAGTGAAGGATATGTTAAAAAAACCTACAATAGGGGCCAAAACAAGTAAATAAAATGGGAAACCAATGCAGAATCGAGCACACTCCACGAATGAACTAGAACCGTTGGAACTTCAAATTCAGTATTCACTCTATTTATCGACATCCTAAAAACTCCGTTGAACCGAAAATCAAGTTCTCTCAACCACCAAAACAGAAAAGCCCGATTTGAGAAAACCAAATAGATACCTTTCCGGATCGCTTGAGATGAGCGGCATAGGCCTTGACAAACTCGTGAGGAGAGACATCCTTAACGGTCCTTGCAGTCGCCATGGCTGCGGAATCCAGTGAGCAAAGGCCGGCAAAAGCTCCGATTGCAGAACTAGGGTTTCCGCCTTTCTCAAACTCTAGGGTTTTCGAGGGGAGATAAGTGCCCTATATTTATATTCGGGAATTTGTGATATTTCAGTTGGGCCGTCTTCATTTTTTCTAGTTTCCGTAATTACCCCTTCCGTAATTACTGTCTAGTTCTATTTTACATTTTTAAAAATTTTAAATTTAATATATAAATTTTAATTTTAGTTTTTAAAATGTTAATACAAAATCCAATCCTTTCAAAATGGACGCATTAAAAATAAAATGAATATTTGAAACTAATATTATCTTTTTAATTATATTTTTTTAGTTCATTAATTATGAAAATTTGAAAATCAAGTTTTAATATTCTTTAATGCGATTTTATCTCTATTAAATTATTTAGTCTAAAATCACTATGACAATAAAACCAAACACGTAAATGCTTACGTGAAAATCAATTTTAATAAACTAACTTATAAATAAATTATTTTCTCTAAGATCGTCCAATTTAACACGTTGTATTAATCATGCACATCAAAATGTTGTGTCGTGGCAGCTCATCCGCATGCATCTTCTAAATTGAGCTTATTATGAATGCACGATTCATCGACAAAAAATAAAAAATAATTATTGCATTAAGAAAACCTATGTCTCGAGAATTTACAATCTGGTCGAGTAAATTCCAAAACTAACCAGTGAAAAGTAAGGGTGTATACGGATCGGTATGCGAGATCCCATTATAGGTTGGGGAGGAGAACGAAACATTAGTTATAAGGGTGTGAAAATCTCTCTTGACTAGATACGTTTTAAAAATCTTGAGGGAAGTATAAAAGGAAAAGCTCAAAGATGACAATATCTGCTATAAGTGGTTACGCACCTAAATTTTGAAATGGAATAAATATAAATATTACTGTGCATATTTGGAAACTAAATTTATAATTAACTTCGTATTTAATTATAGGAAATAAAATAATAATTTTTATCCACCATAATTGTTATTTTATTTTATTTTTTACCTTAGTCAAATTTCTTCACCCAGAAGAAAATGTAAAAATCTTCCGAAATTTATTAATTTCAACAAATTAAAGTTTTGAACAAAATTAGTTAACTATTAAATAAATTAACCAAAATTTATAGATGTAAATAATAATAATGTTAATTACTTTTTGTCTATTATATACTTTATAATTTATTAAATGCGTAAAATAAAATTTTTAACTAAGAATTTATTTATAAAGTTTAAAATTTAACAAAATTGGTTTTTATTTTTGTTTTTTAAAACCGGTTTCAAGGGATTTGGTATGAATATTAAATTGGCAATATATTGGGTAGACAGCACACAGCGCATTTGCCTTAGGCGCCATCGGTCCAATATTTCCCACGTCGTTGCCTTGGATCTTATGCCTCCAACGAACTAACTCATCTCTCTCTCTCTCTCTCTGTTTCTTGCTGTTCCAATGGCAGCCAAGACAGGCGTACGTACTAGCGTTCGAATCGTTGTCGCCGGCGATCGAGGCACTGGAAAATCCAGCTTAATTGCTGCCGCCGCCACCGAATCATTCCCTGACAGCGTTCCCGCCGTGCTTCCTCCGACTCATCTTCCCGCCGATTTTTATGCTGACGGCGTCCCGCTCACCATTATAGACTCCTCTTCCAGGTATGGCACTGTTCGTATTTGCGTTTCTGTGGTATCTGAGTGTTCCGGATGTCATTTTGGATAGGGATTCGTTTATGTTTTTCAGCTTTAGGAAATGCTGGTGTGTAATGTAACTTCCTTTTCTTGATTCCTAAAAATTTTCCTTCAACGGTTCAGTAAAAGAGTGCCTGTGTGTTTGAGATTTCTGAGTGATTCGAATGTCATATTTGATATGGATTCGTCCGTGTGTTCAGTTTTAGTTATTGCTGGTGTTTAATGTAACTTCGATTTTTCTCATAAAATATTTCATTCAATGGCTCAATGAAAGAATGCTTGTGTATTTGTTATACCTGAGTGATTCGAATGTCATATTTGATACGGATTCGTTTGTGTTTTTCAGTTTTAGAGAGTGCTAATTTTTAGTGTAACTCTTTTTTTTTTCCTTGAAATTTTCATTCGGTTCAATGAAATAATGTTCACGTGTTTGTGATTGCTTAGTGGTTCGAATGTCAAATTTTACATGTATTCTTCTGTGATTTCAGTCTTAGGTAATGTCAGTATTTAGTATAACGTACTTTTTTTCTCTCTCAAAATTTTAATTCAACGGTTCAATGAAAGAATGATCGAGTATCTGAGTGATTCGAATGTTATAATTGATAAGGATTCCTTTATTTTTTCAGTTGTAGAAATGCTAGCGTTTTAATACAACTGCCATTTACCTCTTTCGTCAAAGCTCCTTTTCACACTGAAATGAAAGAATATTATTGTATTTGTGACTTCTGAATTCGAATGTTGTATTTGATTTAGATTCGCGTATGTGCTTCAGTTTTGTGTTAATGTTTAATAACTTCGTTTTTTATCTTCCTCAAACTATCAGTTCACGGTAGTGATCATATCCTATTTTATTTCTCCCGTCTGAAGCGACTCATTTTCTCACTGTGATTTCAATGTTTGATTAATTCCTTATGATCTATCTATAATTAGCACGGACAACAAATCTAAACTCTATGAAGAACTGAAGCGTGCGGATGCAGTGTTATTGACTTATGCATGTGATCAACCGATGACACTTAGTCGTCTGACTTCGTACTGGCTCAACGAGTTGCGCCAGTTGGAGGTGAAGGCACCGGTTATTCTGGTTGGTTGCAAGCTAGATTTGCGTGATGAACACCAGCAAGTGAGTATGGAGGATATCGTGGCACCCATTATGAAACAGTTCAGGGAGATTGAAACTTGCATAGAATGCTCTGCGGCCACGCTACTTCAGGTATTGAGAAGCCATTCATTCTTGTTGCTTATCTATTTATTGAAACTTGCATAGAATACTGCATGTCAGATGTCCATTTTTGTGGGAGACCGTCAAAATATAGAAAAATTAAAGAAGCTTTGAAATGAAAGAAGGGCGAAGGAACTTATCAACCACACTCCTTATCATTTTCATTTGCTTTGTTATCCTTATTTATTGTAGTATATTTTAAAATATCTCATAGTGCTTAAATTTCTCTGTCAATTAAAAGCCTATTTTGCATTCCAGGTTCGTTCCTGGTGAATTTGAATCTTGAAACTCTAAACTACTTGCTCACAGGTGCCGGAAGTTTTTTATTACGCTCAAAGGGCTGTGCTTCATCCAACAGCACCATTGTTTGATTTAGAAAGACAAAGTTTGAAACCCCGATGCAAAAATGCTTTGAGAAGGATATTTACTCTTTGTGATCGTGATATGGATGGTGCCCTTAGTGATGAAGAGCTAAATGAATTTCAGGTCAAATTCTCCTGTCTCACTTCCTGTACCCTCTCTCTCTCTCTCTCTCTCTCCCNNNNCCCCCCCCCCAAAAAAAAAAAAATCCTTCCTGCTTTCCCGCGGTCTTTTTATTGCATTTTCTCCCTTTTTCTTTGAAGCTAACATCTTTCAAGTGTTGCACAGGTTAAGTGCTTCAATGCTCCATTGCAGCCTGCAGAAATAGTGGGTGTTAAAAGAATTGTGCAAGAGAACTTACCAAGTGGAGTTAATGATCGTGGTCTTACCCTTCCTGGGTTCCTATTCCTTCATGCTTTATTCATAGAAAAAGGCCGCCTTGAGACTACTTGGGCAGTGTTAAGGAAATTTGGCTATGATGATGATTTAAATTTGAGTGGAGATTATCTTCCAGTTCCATCTAAGCAAGCTCCTGATCAGGTAGCTTCTATTTTCTTCACCCGATTACCCTTTCATAAAACGAAAATTGGTTTATTATTTTAGTTGAAAGGCCAAATACAGTAGGCTACATGTCAACAAAGGGACTTTTATTTGTAAGTTTCAATTGTTGTTCCGTATTGGGGGTAAGATATCTTTTTTGGCCTCCCTGTCCTTTGAACTTATAGATTCCATTTATTTTTCTTTTTAATTTATGGAAATGTGGGGTAGTTGTTTCTTGATACTTTGTCTGTGAAGGCCTCTTGTATCAGGATCCATCAATAGGATTGCTATTAATCCACAATTCAACAACTTATCATTTTCTTATCGTTTGATTTTTCTTGTAGGTGACTACCATGAATAATTTTTTTTTTTTCCCCGTTGTTACAATTTACTCAACAGATGTTTGTGTATAAGATACTTACTGGATGTTATTGTTAGAGCATGGAGCTGTCAAATGAAGCCTTGGATTTCTTGCGTGGTGTATTCCAATTGCTCGACACAGATAATGTGTGTACTCCCCTACCCAGAGATTTTTTTTTTTTTTTTTGTGCAGTGTTTTTCTCTCCTACTGCAGTGGTATCTGATAGTTGAGGTTATTTAACGGTGTTTGCCTTCTTTATCTGAACCTCAAAATTCTTTTGGTTGGGATTGCTAGGATGGAGCACTGCGTCCAATAGAGCTCGAGGAACTATTCAGTACTGCTCCAGAAAGGTAGACTTTGTTACTCTAGAAACATTTTTTCACGTTACATATCATCCATTCGTATTAACTTATTGGCATGTCCCCATTAGACATCAATTTTGTGCAGATTCATTATGGGTATAGCATGCAATTGTATCTTTATTTTTTATTTTATTTTAAACAAAATTTTCTTTCCATCTTAGAATTAAAAAACTTTGTATTTTTATGAAAGGTTATCACCGAACTATTCTCAATAAACATTTTATTACAACTATCTAGCTATTTAATCATGATCATTTTTACTTTGTTGCTTATGGATCAAATGGGTATGAATCCTTGAAATAATTTGTTTCACTAATACGTGCACATGTTAATTATATTAACTGCTCTTACTAATTTTTTCTCATTCCCGTTTAAATCAGTCCTTGGGACGAGCCTCCTTACAAGGATTCTGCAGAGAAAACTGCTCTTGGAAATTTAACTCTCAATGGGTTTCTATCCCGGGTATGTTAATGGTTGCTATTGTTTGCTACATTAACCGTTCCTATTTGTTCTGTAAATATGTGTACTATCATTCTGGATGTAAA